TAGGAACAACTATGCAACTCCAATTTAGATAGAAACTCAATTCCAATATCTAGCTCCCTGTGGAAATCGATCTCGACCTTTTCAGGTAAAAGATGCTTCGAGCACTCTTGCTACTTTGTAGTAGTACAGGGTTGACCTCGATCAATAGCCTAGGCCATTTGGTCTCTTTGATGCGACCAATAGATGACACTATACTTACAGAATCCACGTTGAAGTTGTATTCTGATAGTCTTGGTTACCCCCGAGTGATCTGTCAAAATCGCTCTTACTCATCAAACCCCCGTTGTTAGGTCCTTGATCACTGTCAAAATCGCTCTTACTCATCAGACCACGATTGCTAGGTCCTTGATCACTTCTCCTGTCACTCCTGGTAGGGTGGCGAACGGGCCCGTTTCCCCTTTTATCTGAGCTATATGGCTGATACCGATATCGAACCAGCCTTGGCTCCTAGTCCATGATTCTTTTAGATCTGTTGTTCGCACTATTGGTGTAAACAGACCTTGACGGGGCCCCAGCTAGTCGTCCTTAACTCTGATCTTCAATTGATACCTGTTATGAACATCGTCCCAAGTAACCGCCAGGTACTCCACCAAGTTTTGCTTCAATTGTTGAGAAGTATTGGAACTTTGGGAATTGAGCCCTTGAGTGAACGCCTGAAGGGCCCAATCATCTGTGATCGAGGACAAGTCGATTCGATCCATCCAGATCCTCGACACGAACTCTCTAAGCACCTTGTTGTCTCTTTACTTGACATTAAAGAGGTCTAATTTCCTTGTCTTGGCTTTGATGGCGGGGACATGGGTTTTAACGAAGGCATCTACAAGCATAGCAAATGAATCAATAGAATTCGGGGGGTAAGTTATTGTACCATATCATTGTCCCTTCGGATAAGGTTTTCCCAAACTTCTTCAACAACACCGACTCAATCTCATCATCTTATAGGTCGTTGCCTTTTATCGTGCACGTGTAGGAGGTTACTTTCTCATTTTGATTTGTGGTTCAATTATATTTGGGAATATCGGGAATCCAGAATCTCTTCGGAATTGGCTTTGGTGCCGCACTTCGGGGAAAAGTTTTCTAAATGAATTTTTTGGAATTCGATCCTTTCAATATTAGGGGCACCCCCAGGATCTGATTGACCCTCGAATTATAAGTTTCCACCTTCTTGTCATTTGCCTCTATCTTTTTCTCACCAGACTCCACCCACTTTGTTAACACATCGAGCATTTTCATCACTTCAAAAGTTTCTCCAGTCCCGAACTCATCGGGCTCTGCGATAAAATATTCATCCCTTTGAGCGTCTTCTCTAACCCTGCTCGGGTACGGTCCTGTTCTAGGTGTGATTTTGAGTCTGCTGCTCACACTTGCTGAGCTTGTAGCATTTCAAAAATCAATCATAAACTAACTGCATCACCTTTCCCTTCTGGTGTTTCTCGAGTTAGTGGCCGGGGTGCCCTGCGAATGCTATTTTCGAGATCAGTTGAAATGTTGATGTTGATTGCAACTTGTGAATTAGCGTCGATCAGGTCAGCGATTAGGACACCAATATGTTCAACAGGGGGTACATCATTGCTTGGTACCACATTGTTGTTCTCACCGTGGTGGCATGACTCAGCGTTAGCGTTCACGTGAGCAAACTTAGAATTTGACATTTATAGATTAACTTGAAATCAAACTTCAAAAGGTAAGTGTAAAATAGGGTGTGTTATATAGATTCGTATCAAATCACCACTATTATTCTTAGACCCACGGTGGACGCCAAACTATTTACCATAAAAATGAGTAACATTTGAATTTATATGCGGTTAAAGGATATGTGATTTAATTTAACACAAATTAACTATAAACAATAAATAATGGAATTAAAAGAAATCAAGGTGATAAAACCAAATGAAATGGATGAATAAGTCTAGCTTTGCAACGAGCGTTTCGAAATCTGTCCAGTTCGGCCTTCGGAACGAGCTCAGTTACAACTTAACAAAAAAGCAGTTGAAGAACACTTTGACCCATAGGTAAAGAATAAAAATCAACTTTATTACTTTGATAGGCATGCTAACGGTAATCCTTAAAATATTAAATTTTTTCACATTATATAGTAGGGGAGTTTAAATCATAGTACAAGTCTAAATAAGGTAAACAATCTTTGGCTTCTAGTAAACGTTATTACGCAGTTGATACCGGGCGAGACTTGCGCCATAATATCTGATAGTGGAAGATATTTCGGCCCCTTGTTTGTTCTGTCTAACCACCTTTCTCTTAGCCCAGGTTCTTCACTTTGCTTGAGCTTAATGCTTGGCTGTGTCCGGTCTTGGGCGCACCATTCGTCCTTCCTCGGGTTCTAATCTGTGGATGCCCTTGGCACTACCTGAGGTCATATCGGGTCACATTGTCCTCTCCTTTCTTTATCGAAAAATCAAGGGTAACGTTCAAATCCGATTTTACCCGTACACAATGTCAAATTATAGCATTTTATTTGGAACTTGTCGCGAAAGGACATAATTGTACTGTAAATGAAATATGATAGAGTGGTGTTGAATTCAGCTGTAAAAAAGATAAACAAACAAAATAAAGGAAAATAGAACTAATATAAGTCCGAATGCATACAATTTAATCTTGGAGACGAGTATTTTAGCGTTTTTACCCTGATTTTCTTACCATATTTGAGTTTTACTTTTTTCTTAAAGGAAAGTCAAAGTATTAGCTTTCAAGGAGCTAATATCGAGAAGCCCGGGCCATAGAATTCGAGCAGCTTAGACAGACGACTATGAGTGTATAAGAATACTATATGAAGTTCATCAAACTTGCTAAATACGCTCCTAGAATGATTGCTACAGAGAAGGCAAAAATTCACAGGTTCATATTCGGGTTGGGAGAGCACATTAAGGATACTACCAAAGCTGCAACTTTAAGTATGGAACAATTTTCTTCAGTTGTGAAATTTGTGAAGCACTTAGAACTGAAAACGCAGAAGATGAGGGCAGACAAAGAGCAAAACAAGAAGACTCATACTACATGTGGATATAATGATGCACTAGGTGGAGGAGTAAAGAATTGATTTAATAAGGGAATGTAGCAACCAACGCAATGTGCTTATTAGTTTAGCGAAAGTACTCATTTCAGACAGAGTCAGAGTTTCAGTAATCAGTCCCGCCAAAATCAAAATTTCAGAACTTTCCATTCCTAATGAGAGGGTTTTAAGTTATTTATGATCTAGCGTATTTGTTATTCACAATGATCTAAATCAAGAACAGTTTTTTCCATTAACCACCATTCACTACTAAAAATAGGGCAAAAATTGACTGCCAAAACCGATTGATGTTGGTCGGTAATTGATAAAAACTGACTGAATATCGATCGATTCGTGCCGGTCAGTAGTAATGCTGTTGGTAGAGCCAATTCTACAAACAACCCAAAAAATATTCGACCGAGAAAACCAACCGAAGTCGGTCGGTTTTCTTAATTTATGTAATTAAAAAATATACCATCTAAGAAACAAGCCGAGGTCTGTACTGTGCAAGGATACTATTCTGCCACTAGGACATTGATTTTTTTAGTTTAAGACTTTCTTTTATTTAATTATACTCTTTAATTGCATTTTCGCGAGAAACTAACCGACCGGTTTCAGTCGATTTTACTAAAAAGAATAAAATTACAGATTAAAATCGGTCGGTTTTTTAAAATGATAGACCGAAATAATTGGTTGGTTTTTTTGAATATTAATTTTAATTTATTTTAAATAACAAATCGACCAAAGTTGGTCGGTGTCTTGAAAAATAAATTTTTCGGGACACAAAAATAATTTCCCGTATTTTAGCACAAAAAAAATTATTGACCGAATTTGCTTAAAATAAAACGAAAAAGAAAATATTTTGAAAAGCCAACCAACTTCAATCGGTTAGTAAATCGGTCGGTCATGGTCAGATTTTGGCCGAATTTCTAGTAGTGATTGCTAGTGTTTCTTGGGTATTCAAGATTTTGCTATTAGCTTTAGTGTCTGTGCATAATTGGGTGAGAAAATACTAAGTAATAAGAGGTAAATTTGATTCTTGATTTTTCTTTCTCTGCAGGTTGGGTTTTTGTTCTCATCTACAAGAGGGGGGAAATACGGTTTAACTCTGTGCTTATTACAGCCAATTTGAAGAACATGCTTTACATTAATAGGAAAAACAAGTGAAGAAAAATCTAAAAGCGCATAGAGAAATTGAAAGAAGTAGGGAAATCGCATAGACGTAATAACTAAGTTGACTTTGATTGATACAAGTCAGTCAACTTGGCGATTAGATTTATCATTTTTGCCAATTTTAATTTTGTGTGGATATCCTATAGTCACTGAACGCGTCTTTACTCCAATCCACTAAATTCTACTCCTTTGTTTCGATTTGTGATAATCTTTTCTTTTTAGCCATAAGAATGACACATTTATAAAAATTAGTACGTGTCTATACTAATATACTATTTTTTAAACATATTGCAAGTATATATGAAAATTTTGTCGAAGTTTTCGGGTGCCGATAACCCATCAACTTATAGTGTGCATCCACCTTTGTTAACCCAAGACGTGCTTTAAAGCTTCTTTTATTGATCCTTCCTTGGTCTTCTTCTTGAGTGATCACTTCTCTAATTCTGTTCACTACATGAAAAATGGGATTGTTGACACCAAAATTAATAACCTATAGGTTATGGGTTCGAGCTCTGAAAGTAACTACTAATGTTTATATTAGGATAAGTTGTCTACATCGCACATCGGTTATTTCCCGCCTGCATGAATGCGAGACTCCTAGTGTATCGGTGTATCATTTACTCATCTACTTTTGATTATGATGTAAAATTACCCTCTCTCTTATACTTAAGGTTGAAACTCTATTAGAATTAAAGACAAATACGAGACTCTATTAGAATTAAAGACAAATACGAGACAGATTTACTGACAGTCAAACGTAGGGTAATACAATACTAATCACATTGGAAGAAATTTAGGGAGTAGGGCAAGTTCCTCGTAGTCACATGAAAGACTATGAGACCAATACCAAAGGTTGTTCAAACTTCAACGTCAACTATCCCACCACCATATATTATCATTATATGTCTGCCTCTTCCAATATTTTATTTACATGTACCAAAAAATAAAGCAAATCCCAACGTGGTCAAAAGTTCTGTTGACTACATGAAAAATGGGATTGTTGACAGCAAAACTCATCACCATCTTCATCTTTCTCTGTTGTCTTCAGTCCATATCTCGAGCCAAGCTAAAGAAATTCGACAAGCAATATGGACCCTTTGACGAAACTTACCATGACATTTTTCAAGTAATACCTCCTGCAACGATCAGTAACCAGTCTCTCCAAGTGACATCTGATTTTGTCCGCGTTTATGGGAGCCTGTTAAACAATGCAGGAAGAATCCTCTTGAAACAGTCCTTCAAGTTGTGGGATGATAGTACCAAAAGAGTGGCATCTTTCAACTCTTCATTCCTTGTAAACATTTACAGGGTAGAAAATGAAACTGCAGCTGAAGGTTTAACTTTCTTGATTTCTCCTGATTTAGAGCTGCCAACTAACAGCCACGGACAGCATTTAGGCTTGACAAATGCTAATACTGATGGTGGATCTACCAATAAAGTTATCGCGGTCGAGCTTGATACATTCAAGCAAGAGTTTGACCCTGATGATAACCATATTGGGATTGATATTCATAGTATTAGTTCTGTAAAGGTCGAATCTTTAACCAAACATGGTATTGAGCTTGCTCCAATTGGTGCAAGATTTTACAATATTTGGGTACAATATGATGGTATCAAGAGAGTTCTTGATGTGTACATAGCAGAACAAGCCGAGTATAATGGCTCAACCCCACCTAGGCCAAAGAATCCAATATTAACACATGATATTGATTTAAGAGATGTTGTTAATCAAGAATCATACTTTGGATTCTCTGCTTCAACAGGAAATTTTTTTCAATTGAATTGTGTGTTAAGGTGGAACTTGACAGTTGAGTATTTTCAAGAAAAAAATCAATACTTAACCATTGGTCTAGGTGTTGGGGTTCCATTATTTGTTCTATTCTTGATTTTGTTACCACTTTTGGGGTACTATTACCACAAGAAAAAGGCTGCTAGGTCAGACTCAATTATACTTGGTGCACTTAAGAGTTTGCCTGGAATGCCTAGAGATTTTAAGTTTAAGATATTGAAGAAAGCTACAAATAATTTTGATGAAAAGAATAAGCTAGGTGAAGGTGGATTTGGAGTGGTTTACAAAGGGTATTTAGTTGGTGAAAATTTGGAAATTGCAGTGAAGCGGTTTTCAAGGGAAAGTATCAAAGGTCAAGATGATTTCTTGGCTGAGCTTACCATCATCAACCGTCTACGGCATAAACATCTTGTCAAATTGCTCGGTAAGTATTTTTTACTTTACTTTTATTTTGAGTATAGATTCGTAGATGAGGTAAGTTAGGTCAGTTTTGTAAGGATCAAACTGGTAAAAGTCAATATAGGAGTCATAATCCAATTCGTCGAACATGATCCAACCTCCTTTCCTTTTTTATTTTTCTTTTTAAGAAAATATAAAATATATTTTTCTTAAGTTATTAACTTATGTTCTTTTACATTTACATAATTCTCAATTTTCAAACTTGATTTTGTATATGTTTTAAGTTTAGGTTACATCTTAACTCGTTTGAGTTTTTTATATAATCGTTTTGACCCAATACTTCAACCCATTAGGTCAATTTAACAAACAGGAAGCTTCCTCTTAAAATCACATGCATTCCAATGTCAACCACTGTGGCAGGTTTTGGTAATATACAGATAATAGCACATCATAGCCACTGAATAGGACATTTAGCTTCAAAATATAACAAGACATCATAATTGAGACCGATCTAAATTTTCCAAAATTAGGTCCTAAATTTCTAAATCAAAAAATCATTATTATTGTATCAATGATATATACGTTTTATACACGAATAATGTGAAAAATTATTTAATTATTAATGTATTTAAACATGTTTAACAAGTAACCTGCTTTATTTTTCTAAGTTACTAATCTCATATTTTATGGGCGGTTAGTTATAGTTATTATTTAGCTGACCTAATAGTGTAAAACTCTGTAACACTGTTATTGTATAAAAAAACAAACTCTTGTACAATTATACTTCTATTTCATTTTATGTGAACCTATTTGACGGCCGTAAAATTTAAAAAGAGAAAATTTAATGAAACTTGTGATCTTGCCATGGCATTTATCTGACTATAAAATCATTTCATTAAACATAAAATAAAAAATTTAAAATAAATTATTTTTAACATAAAAATACATGGTTCTTTATTTTTTAACCGACTATAAAAGAAAGATTTAATGTCACGTAAAATGGAATTGAGGAAGTACCAATATAATTTAAGTCAAACCACATCAATGGCATTAATGCTACTATTAGCATTACATCAGAAACATTTTTTTTTTTTCTAATAAAATCAGAAACATTTTAATGGTAGACTTTCTAGCAAACTTTACTTGTTTTCAAGCAAATTATTATGTAGCTTCAAGTTGATGAAAATAACAATACAGACATAAGCATCTTACAATCACATATTATTTAGGTAGCTTCGCCCCCCGTAGTTGTAACAGGTAATCAGGCTTATTTTCTGGATTACTAACAGTTACATATGATTATTATTTAGGTGATTTGATACTATAAAAAACTATACTCTTATTTTTCAAGCTGATGAGAATGTTGAGTTGTCCTACATTGGAGTGATTTGAGGTCCTTGGTCTCCTTATATGGCTTGGGCAATCCTCACCTCATAAGCTAGCTTTTGGAGTTGAGTTAGGCCCAAGGTCCATTGTTATCATGGTATCAGAGCCAGACGCATCCCAATTATTGTTACCGATGTTGGGTCCCCATTTATGTTGTCCACGCTCCAGAGGTCTGGGCGTGTGAGGAGGTGTTGAGTTGTCCACATTGGAGGGATTTGAGGTTATTGGTCTCCTTGTATGGCTTGGGCAATCCTCACATCATAAGCTAGCTTTTGGGAATGAGTTAGGCCCAAGGTTCATTCTTATCATAGCAATACAAACATTAAGCATCTTACAATCGCATATTATTGTGACAGGATGGAGCCACAAGCATGGAAAGCTACTACTTGTATATGAATACATGCCAAATGGTAGCCTAGACAAACACCTTTTCTCAGGGCCAGATAAAAAGCCACTCAGCTGGCAAGTCAGGTACAAGATTGTTTCAGGCGTCGCCTCAGCTCTGCACTATCTGCACGATGAGTTCGAGCAGAAAGTGGTCCATCGTGATCTTAAGGCAAACAACATCATGCTCGACTCCAACTTCAATGCACGCCTCGGTGATTTTGGCCTGGCACGAGCACTTGACAATGAAAAGACCTCGTATGCTGAGGCAGAGGGCGTGCTTGGCACGATGGGATACATTGCACCAGAGTGTTTTCTCACTGGAAAAGCCACTCAACATTCTGATGTATATGCATTTGGGGCAGTGTTGTTGGAATTAGTATGTGGCAAGAGACCTGGAACTAAAGTTAATGGCTTTCAACTATTTGCTGATTGGGTTTGGTACTTGCATCGCGATGGTAGAATCCTCGAAGCTGTTGACACGAGGCTCGGGGATGATTATGTAGCTGAAGAAGTAAAGAGATTGTTATTACTTGCTTTGGCTTGCTCTCATCCAATTGCTAGTGAAAGGCCTAAAACACAGACGATTGTTCAAATTATATCAGGGTCAGTACCAGAACCTGAAGTTCCACCATTCAAGCCAGCATTTGTATGGCCTTCTTCTCTGGTGCCAATTGACGTAGACTCGAGTATTGTCGATACAATATCCATCACAACTCCTCAGCTCAGTTCAGGAAACAATGTTGAGTATCAAAGTAAGTAGAACCAGCAGCATATATACACATAGGCCAACAGGAAAAAATGATTTTGCATTCTTTTTTTTTTGCCCTGTAAGGTTTTCTTTCAACTTTTCTTTCGTACATTTGCCTCTTCATGCTATGTTTGAGTTTTCAATTATTAAGTTTTCGTTCAACTTAGCAAACTATTGTTATCCAAAGGAGATTTGTGGAATTTCTTAAATTTTCCAAACAATTGAATATACCAATATAATATTTCCATCGGTTCTACACCTAAAAGGACATGTTAGATCATCTTTGTCGCAATTTATTTGTCTTGTGCTATTGTTATTGCTATAACCATGATTTGAAAAGGCTATAAATATATGTCAGGCTATAGTTTTTTATTTGGAACCACGGGCGGCCATTCCATAAAAGCAAGTAAAACAATCGCTTTAGGTCCCATATTTTTTGGTGCCTCATTTTTTGTTACACCTAATAAACTAAGTATCACTTTTAAAAAAAGTTATATAAAGTGAAATTTTTTTGATTTCTTTCTTTAACAAAAATAGATAAGAAGGATTTGCAACTGCTATGAATTCTACCAAGAAAATTGCACTTGAAATGAATATTGAGCCCAAATTTTGTAAGAAACGTATGATATATAAGAAGTAACAAATTGATGCGAATGTTGATAATAAAATCTCAAAATCTTTCGAAGAGTTCTTTAGAGTTGATTACTTTTATACATAGTAGACAAGACTATTTTTTCACTTCAAAACAGATTTGAACAATTAGCAGCATATGAAAATATTTTTGGTTTTCTATTTGGCGGTAAAAACTAAGATCACTAGATATTGAAATTTGAAAAAATATTGTCTTAATCTTGAATGTTATTTAAAGCATAATAATCAATTCGTATTTAATGGTTTAGATTTATTTTTTGACAAAAGTATTAAGAAAAATAGTACAATTAGAAAATAGCAGTTTAATTGATACATTTAATAAAATAAAAAAAATAATTCTTTTTCGAATGCCTAAATTGCTTGTTGAATAATGTTAATAACTCGTGTTATCGTTGCTTCAGCGGAATGAAGTTTTCAAAACTTACCTAAGATCAACAATGTCACAAAAAGGTTAAATGGATTAACTATATTATCAATTGAGAAATATTTATTAGGAGTTATTGATTATAAGAAAATTATTAAAAAATTTGTATCTAAGAAAAGCTAAAAAAAAATAGACTTCAAATAAATAGTAATTGTTTTTTAAAAAAAAAAATTAAGGCCCCTAATAAAGTTTGACTTTAGGCCACAAAATTCCTCGGGCCGCCCCTGTTGGGAACTTGTCGCAAAAGGATATAACATATGTATTGTGGCGTTGACTAGTAGGAAAAAGGATAAACAAAAATACAAACAAAATAAAGGAAAATGGAATGATTGCCTTATTCCCAGCGTAAGTAATATATTACTTGTATACGATAAATATTTTGTTCTTCTCCATTTTCTTCTCTTATAAGACTGGGTTGTGTGTTCGATATCTTTTCCAAATAAGGACTAGTATCTATGGTACGGTCGAATTTGGGCTCGTCTACTGTATGGTGGATCGGGCTCAAAATGTGAGGGATTGAAAATCGACCCCGAGTCTCATCGAACCAGAACACGAGGTCAGAATGTCCGTCCTCGAGAACATTGAGTCCATGATCCTGGAATCGACCCTAACCTCGAATGAGCTCGAGGAAACATTGCCAGTATAATCAACAGAAGACCGAAATAACGAATGGCCGAAATATCCATAACCGGTTGGGTGTCACGGCGCGAATTTCGGCACGTATCAACAAGGAACCAGCAAATCAACAAATTAGGAGATTTTTACCTTTTATAAAATTGTACCTAAAGTAGAACTCTCCTACTATATAAAGGGGTTCTGATTACTTGTAAAATACATTGCAACAATCATTCAGAAGCAATATATTATTTTTCTCATTAAACTCTTATTTTATCTGTGTCCTAATACTGATCGAAGTTCATCCAGTTCAAGGGTGGCCCTCCCCCCAAAGTTGTAACTGTTCAATTCGTGTGGTTTGAATTTACTTTATCATACTTTAATTTAATTGCTATTCAATTCATCAATTTGTATCAATTTAATCCACGTATTCTTAAAACTACATATAAATTTAATTATTACCCGATTTTGAGGGTAAACATTTTGGTGCCCACAGTGGGGCTAAGGATAATAGTGGTTATTTGATACAAATTTTCATTATACACACTACTTTACACTTGTTTTTTGAAGTATCTCTGATTTCAGGTTGAAACTAAAAATGTCGAACTCTCAGTCAGCACCCATATATTTTGATAATAAGTCCGGCCACCATAGCGAAAACGACAATGTAGCACCCAAAAACGAGGTGCCCCAAGTCGACCTCGGCGGAGTTCCGGCCCAAAAGCCAAACGATGTTAGCTCGCATGTGGTCATCAATGCAAATTTGCCCGCGATCCTGAGGACATCATCCATAGGGATGTGAGATCGGTTGCAAAAAGCGCACACGACAGCGAAGACTGTAGAATTAACTTGCCGGTAATCTTCAATGTTACAAGCTCAACAGGCGGCGATAACCCAGCTCCAGAACCAAAGCCACCCACCAAGTAGGATTTGAGCCTGAACCATCCCGGGAAATTGTTCACAGAGATGAACCGGTCTCAGAGAGATCGAATGAGAAAGAGTCGGGGAGAAACCGGTAATCATGAAGATGATCGAGGAACTAACAAAACGGATAGAGTCGGGGGAGAAGAAAATCGAGGCAAACGATAAGAAGGTGGAAACCTACAATTCCAGGGTTGATCAAATCCCAGGAGCACCGCCGATATTAAAGGGCCTGGACTCCAAGAAGTTCGTACAAAAGCCTTTCCTCCGAGCGCGGCTCCCAAGACGATCCCTAAGAAGTTCTGCATGCCCGATATTCCTAAGTACAAAGGAAGGATCGACCCGAACAAGAATGTTACCTCCTACACGTGCGACATCAAAGAGAATGACTTGGAGGATGATGAGATCGAAATTGTCTTGCTGAAGAAATTCAGAGAGATCCTCTCAAAGGGAGCTATGATATGGTATCACACTTACCTCCTAATTCTATTGACTCATTTTCCATGCTTGCGGATTATTTTGTGAAAGAACATGTCAGGGCTATTATGGTTGAGACCAGGAAGTCAGAAATTTTCAAAGTAAAACAGAAGGATAATGAAATGCTTAGAGAGTTCGTGTCCCGGATTCAAATGGAGCGGATAGATCTACTACTGGTCGCTGATGATTAGGCCGTTCAAGCTTTTACCCAAGGACTCATTGTTCGAAGCTCGGTGGATTCACAATAATTGATGCAGAATCTGATAGAGTATTTGGCTGTTAGTTAGGCTAATGTGCGTAACCAATATCAATCGAAAATCAGAGTCGAAGATAATCAACTTGGGCTCCTTCCCGGTCTGTTTATCCTGTTAGCTCCATTGACAAAGTTAAGAGAGATATCGACCGTGAACCGAGGTCAAGCAGGGATTGATACCAGCCGTACAATGGAGATCGAAGAAGTGGTGGGTCCGGACAGAGTTCTATGCGAAAAGAAAGGAGAAATGATCGGGGTCAGAATACTCGGGGTCTCATGAGTAAGAACGGTTTCGACAGGCCTATCGGGCCTAAAGAAGCGTCGAGGTTATCAAAATATAAATTTAGTATTGATGTTGCTGCCATCATATCAGCTATCGGACGCATCAAGGACACCAAATGGCCTCGACCACTACAAACTGATCCAGCCCAAAGGGATCCGAACCAGATGTGCAAATATCACGTAACTCACTGCCATAGAACAGAGGATTGACTACAATTGAGGTGAGGAGGTAGTCCAGTTATTCAACAACGGACACCTTCAAGAATTCTTGAGAGACCGAGCCAAGAATCATTTCAGAAATAGGGATTCTAACAAACAGACCGAACAAGAAGAGCCTTAACATGTCATTAACATGATCATCGGTGGGGTCGATGTACCTCAAGGTCCTATGTTAAAATGCACCAAAGTATCCATCACAAGGGAAAAACATACTCGAGGTTACAAAGGAAACTTTGCCTTTCAACGACGAGTACATAGAAGGGATCGTGCATCCCTACAATGATGCACTGGTAAAATCTGTACTCATAAATAAATCTCGAGTTAAGTGTGTGTTAGCTAATCCACATAGCTTAGCCAACATCATCCGGTTGAGGGTCGTAGAACAACTTGACCTACAAGATCAAATTGTGCTTGCAGTTTGAGTTCTGAATGAATTCAACATGTCATGTGAAAACCACTAAAGGGGAAATAACATTACAAGTAAACACCACCGGGACCGTCCAGGAGGCCAAGTTTTATGTGATCAAAGGAGACATAAGGTACAATGCCCTGTTCGGGAGGTTGTAGATCTACAACATGATGGCAGTACCCTCGACTCTTCACCAAGTATTAAAATTTCCAATGCCAGTAGGGATTAAAACAATCTACGGAGAACAACAAGCCACAAAAGAGATATTTGCAGTCGAAGAAGTGATTCAATATCAACACTCTCAATGCCAAAGGAACCAAGTTTGGGTACAAAGCAAGAGGCAAAATAGCAATCACTGACATCGGCCACGACCCATCGGGATAAGCAAGGGACTGATGAAGACGATGATTATGGGGTTCCCAGATCTTTTATATTCCTCGATGATTCCGATGCCACTAAATCAATGGTCGAGGAGTTGGAACATGTCATATTGATCGAGCATCTACCCGATCGGAAGGTATACTGCTGGGCACGGGGTTAACTCACGAGCTCAGGAAAAAACTCATTCAATTTCTTATAGCTAACATAGATTGTTTCGCTTGGTCCCATCTTGATATGATAGGGATCCCACCAGAGATAACCACTTACAAGATAATCTTGGACCCGAAATTCCATCCGATCAAGCAAAAGAGGAGGCCCCAGTCCGAGGTCAAACATGTTTTCATCAAGGACGAGGTATCTAAACTCCTTAAAATAGGGTCTATTCAGGAGGTTAAATACCTGGATTGGTTTTGAAATGTAGTAGTAGTCTCTAAAAAAGGGAACAAATTAAGAATGTGTGTAGACTATAAGGATTTGAACAAGGCGTGCCCCAAGGACTCTTTCCCTCTGCCCAATATTGATTGCATGATAGATACCACCGACGGCCACGAGATCCTCAGTTTAC